ACGTAAATCTGTCCAAAGAACGCTCTACACAGGATGCGGTTCCATGATACGATTGCAACTGCTGTGCATAGATGCAAAACAGCAATCTAACAATTTCTCAAAACAATAAAATATTCACTAAAAATTTATTCTGAAACGGTAGTTTTTGATACCATCGGTTAGAATATGGCGCATGTGCTCCTTCTCTGCATTTTGACCACATACTCGTACTCGACGAACTCGCATTTCCTACTCGCTATTCTATGCCATACTGTATATTAAATATAGCTTTGACAATGTACAGTGTGATGCAGGTTATACAGTATAGAGTGGATCCAATCCATAGCGATCATTACATATTACAATCTGTATATACCATAGGGTACACATACTATGCGTGTACAATGCATATACTACATCGAATAACATGATGTGGTATGTGCAGTATAACGGTATCTTATCCTGTATACGTATACTGCGCGTACTTAATATTATCTGTACTTTAAAGTGTACAAAATATATCGACTGCACATTGCACATACTATATATGTGTGTTTCTATCTCCAATAATAAAGCATAGCAATACCTTTGTGCAATATTATGTAGCTAACACAGCATGGTATAGCATACAGACAACACTGTATCACATACGCATAATCTGAATGATATAGCAGACTATTTATTATCCATATAGCATATACACAGCATAAGTATACTCAATTATAAAGCATAGGAATATAAATTATGCGCATACTTTATGCACAGTATGGTACAGGCCATAAATAGCATGCTACTGCAAATAAAGAATACACATATAATAGTAGTTTATATACAGAACAGCGCTATATATTGCGAAAACCATGTAGTAAACAAAGCATAAATATAAGCTATATACACGTGCATTCTGTTGCAACATAAAAGTATACACAAACTTTAAATGCATAATTCGTGCACATGATGTATGTAATATAATATTGCTTGCATATAAACTACAGGTCAATTAGTAGAAATATACAGTATCATATCACATATTACCTACACTATATAGTATAGGGTATACACATGCCTAATACGTATACTCAGAAATAATTGCTCCGGTAACATATAGTATGTCATATAACAACACGAGTTCTACGCTATGCACGGGATATACAATATTATATTATATGGTAATGTACCAACTATTACACAAAAAGAACATACGCGGTTTATGTAGCGCGACTTGAAAAATTGTATATGCTTTAACTTTGTGCCTTAAGTATAAAAATATATAACTCACTTGTCTTCGTCCGACATGGTTACACCGAATAATATAAATATAAACGCTGAAATAAACAGTGCTGAAGCAATCTGTCAGCATAGCAATCACAGAAAAAAGTGAGTGTAATGCGTCATATAAGGACGTCGTTCGCGCATACCGTCAGGAAGCAAAAACTGTTTAAGACGAGTACTTTACAACTGGAACAAGCTTTACAACTTTTTCACAACACTAATAATGATGCAAAATATCTGAGACGTTATCTTCCACCACTCACTGTATGACGTAAAGACAATTCATTGAAAAAGAAGAATTTTTCCAATGAGCTGATCAAAGGCCCCGATGGGTAGAGAAACTTTCAATAATGGAAGAGTGAGCGTTGCACATTAATCACTGTTTAGAATAGAAATGACAATGAGCGCAAACAAAACAAAATATGCGATCCAACGCAGTGTAAAGCGATGAATTGTTTAAAATCAAATACAACTGATACTTCGCATAATATAATCAATACTTTAAATTTAAAACTGCAGAATTACAAATAGGAGATGGAGGACAACCTACTAACGCTGAAGGGGCATCAAAATTGAAGTTTTTACTTTACTCAATGAACCGTCAGACGTACTCTAAATACTAATGCTGAACAAGAAGTTGCTGTGTAAAGCGTCTGTTTCTGAATGAAGCCTTAAACTTCTCCTTAAGCTTCTCTGAGTCAATAACCACTGAACCTGGAAGATTACCGCAGCCAGTTCTAATAATATTCTACTGCGACGTATCACTTCAGTATTCTGATATAACAACCTTGCAAGTCTAAAAATTCTACTTAAATCCTTTGTTTTATGTTTATGGGTGCACAGTTTCTCATCACGGAGGTCATGAAATGGTTCACTCCACATAGATATCTAATCTATAGCCCGTTCAAATCTTCGGGTCGGACTGGATTCATGTTTATGGGGCCACCACTTTATAGACAAGATTCACAACAAAAATATGAAATTATTTTAAGTCCTAAATGTAGGAAAAAATTGTCTTTCCCACTTCTGAAAGCTGGTTAAAACGTCATAAACATAATATCCACAGACAAAAGGGAGAGGCCATCGTCACTTAAGCTATTAACATTAATTACTTTTTAACCTTAATATACCATACAGTACAATGAATGACAATATATAAGTGCTAAAAATACATTAAAGTACGGAAGGCAATAGAAAAATTATGAAAAATGTAGGTTTTTGATTCTGGGTCCATAGTCATATAGATACATTGAACGATTCATGATTCAGGGCACCAAACACTGCAGATGATACAGCACTTTATTGCCAACGCGTTCCACTACACAGACCGTAACATTATCAAGGCAAATCTGATTTGTCATAAAACTAATAATGTCCCCATGTCTCACAGACTCCACTAACAGGAAAAATGTCCTGTGGCACTTCGATCAATTCTTTACCAAAGAGGCAAAATTTTTACATTTTACAACCCCATGGTAATCCCTGCATAATACACTAAACATTATTTGTCGTTGCAAAGTGTCGCCAACAAACTAGAGTTAATACATAGCCTAGGTCAACGAACTTTAAGAGGCAGTGACACAATGATTACGAAAAGTATTTTTTATCTCTTGTCTTCTTATAAATTTTACACATACACTGTGACAGTGAAGAATGGACAGCAAAGACGAAGATTTCAAAAGTATTATAAGACGATAAGAAATACTGTTTATTTTTTAAATAATGACAGTGAATCTGTATGAATATTCCAAGCTTCAATACATTTCAATTAGTAGGAAAAGAATATTGCATCGCAAAAAAATTCACCCCGAAAGCAGACTTGCCGTTACTTTATTCCGAAAACTAGCATAAACATTATAGCGTTGACAGCTAACACGCCATATTTCGTGGTTCTAAGATACTGGCGAAGTAAACCCAAGTAAACAGCTGTTCTGGGCAACACAAAAAAAACTTCATTTTGAAAAATAACACTGAGGTATGAACCTGATCATATATATTGCTTTATCACCGAATAAACTAACATCCTACGTTACATAAAATAAAGTTGTTTTCAGCTGTTTTTCTGGTAAAAGCGTATACCAACGCATAAACAGAATATTCAAATTACTCAACAGAGGTGAAACTCAAGAACTTACGCATATGCTAAATAAGTAAACACTTGCACACCCATATAAGCAACTCTAAGCATAAAACCTCATATCTAATCAGACGTTTATGCACCTCTTCAGACGGGCACTCCAACAAACAAAAGCTATACATTCAAGCAACTAGAAATTGACGTTTACACGAATGTCCACAAAAATCATTCAAATACGTACCCAAATACTGAACTGCTGAAACCTCCGAACATTTCAATCCTAGCAAAAGAAAAAATAGTGGTACAAGAGCCAACGTTACAACGAAAGCCGCTGCTATTACGCAAATGTAATAGTCACTTCTAACAACGTTAGATTCGCGAATTATAAAGATTTGCAAGTTCGACTATATCTTATGACAGCCACAGATAATCATATGACGAAAAGACAGGCTTCGTTATAATAAATATTCTTTGAAGCGATATCCTTGAAAAAAAACATTCGCAACATTGATGTATAAATCACAGATGTGTTGCAGATTCATAGTTGAGGGCACGAAAAAATCTACATGTTAACACCTATTACCAACGCATTTCGCTTCACACTGCAGCATTATCATGTAGTTCCATGGATAACGAGGCAATGAGCTATTCATAGAAATAAAATGCACCAATTTAAAGTCAGTCGAAGTTTTATCCTATTTACTCATCATGTTCGTAAATTGAAATTTTAGAGTTTACGCTCAAATGCTCCTTTCAGCTTTCAAAACTTTCTTATTGAGTTCTTGAGAGTACCACGATTTCACATATCACCACAATAAAGAAGCTTGCTTGGGAAGTTTGAAACAATGAAATCAGTGGTAAAAATTAAATTCTAAAATTTTAAGTTAGGAATATCATATTTGAAATCTTATTATTCTATGATCAGCTTGAAATCGAAGTATTTTATTTATACAAAGTGGTAACCTGCCTGGTACTGCGACGATGCCGCAGATGTTAGCAAATAAACATACTGGTTCATTTCCGATTCTGCTCCCGTTGTTGAAACTGCAGGATGTTCGCCGATTATTGTTTTGGAAGTCAAACAACACAGCTCTGTTTTAAATAACATTTCAAATTTTTGATTCTGGGTCCAGAGATACATAGATTGATGACTGAACGATTCATGTTTCAGTGTACGAAATGCAATGAATGGTTAAAATGGTAC